CTGATGCGCCAGTGTGTTCGGCGACTCGCTTCCGTCATCACCGTGTGGAATGATTGGAACAATATCTGAACTCTGAACATTGTAAAGCGCTTTGGGTGACTTTGGTCTGTAAAATGTGCTATATAAATAAACATGACTTACTTACTACTTGTTTTCCCTTATATTTAAAACAACTAAAGGTTCGTAGTGCCTTCACACGTATTGGATCAAGTAAACTCAGTTAAAGCTGGGGCATCTTTTATTCTGTTTAATACATATTGGATGTACTTTGTCCCAAGAGAATGTCTTGTAAAATGTTGTGAACAAATCAGAAAACTACATAGAGTCTTTATCTTGTAGGAAAACATGTAGAAAGAGCCCTGTAGAAAGAGCCCTGTGAGTCCCTATTCGAGACTTTGGGCTGAAAGTTTTTCTGTTTAAAAAGCTGAATTTGTGACGAAAACTGGTGATAGAACCAAACTGTTTTAAAGCTAGGAATTATATTCACATGGATTGCATTTTTTGGGACTTAAAAGTTAGGTACCCCAGGTTTAAATGTAAAGAAAAAATGATAAAGTTTTACCCAATAATACAAATACAAGTACTATATCAATACAACAATAAAGAACCATAAATAATCCTAGAAAGTTTGGGTTGAAATTGTGTTGCTCGTTGCAAAAATATACACGAACAAATCAATCTTAAAAGTTCCGGCAAAAGGTTGTAGAATGAGCAAACTGTAGATCACTGTGGTATTGTTGGCTCTACATGTTTACTGCACAGCCTCAGTCCTCGTTCTACAGCCTGAGTCCTAGATCTGTCTCTCACTCCCCACAGAGATGGGAGCGGGGTCGCCATCTCTGTAACGGCGTAGACACGGGGAGAAAATGCAAACTCCACACAGAAAGGCCCTGTCTGAAGGTGGAATCGAACACAGGACCTTCTTACTGTGAGGAACAAGCGCTAACCAACTACTACAACTGTTTCAGTCCTATTCCAGTGACGGCTTCAACTCGGGTGGAACTAATCCATCTCTTTTTCCACAATAAAAGTCAAGTCTGTAGATAATGACTTTGCCACAGCAATAATTTGTCATTTTAAAACCATCACAGCAACTATTAATTATGGCTCTCGTAACCTCCTCCTTAATAAAATATTGTGGTTTCCATCGTGTAGTCCATAAAAGTAATAAAAGTACTTTAAGCAAACCGCAAGCTGAAGTATGTCAAGTATCTGAATTCATTATGGGCTCTCAAAAGCAACAAAAGACTCTTCACTGTGTGTGTGTGTGTGTGTGTGTTTGTGTGAGAGCAAGCGTGTGTATCTGTGTGTGTGTGTGTTTGTGTGAGAGCAAGCGTGTGTGTCTGTGTGTGTCTGTGTGTGTGAGCGCAAGCGTGTGTGTCTGTGCATGCGCGTGTGCACACATGTGTCAGTGTTTATGTGTGTGTGTGTACGTGTGTGTGTGTGTGGGGAGGGGATGAATGGAGAAGAGGAGGAAAACACATCAAAAATCTGCAACCAGTGTCTTTGTTTTATCAAAAGCTGGTGTTCAAAAACATTATTTACTAGTTCATAAAACATGAAAACTAGTGATAGGACTAAACAAGCTCGGATAGTCAGATTCATGATGACATAGTTCTAAAATAATTTTTACCCTTAAAGAATATCGTGAGAATGTTTACTGGGTTTGGTCAAGGTACTTTGTTTGGACAGAAGGGACGGGGAGCCATGTTGGTGCCTGAAGTCTCTGATACGCATAGAGCAGGGGTGGCCAACCAGTCAGAGACTAAGAGCCAATTTTTTTTACTGTGTTACAGCAAAGAGCCACATCATACAAATGTGCACTACATAAACATCACCCCAACCCTTACACACGCACGCACACGCGCACGTACTGTACGCACACGAGCAGACACGCGCACACACATGCAATCTGTCTGAGCAGAGAGAGGTGTGCTCTGCTCAGACAGATTTATTGTAAATGTCATCAACATGATAATGACAGAAGTTGACTCGTACAGTACTAAAGGGCTGGACTCTCCCTGGTTTGCGGGCGCTTCCACCGCTCGCTTCAACCGCTCCCCGGTACTTTTTATTAATGGTTTGGCCCTGGTTCTAACCGGGCGAGTCGATACCAGAACAATCTGACGTCAGCGAACATCAATTATGATTCCGAAATGAATGCTTTCAATCTCTAACCAAGAAAAAAAAATCAAGTTTCAACCCAGTGTTCAGCAGAAACACAACTGTCTTTAGTAAAAGATATAGATTTGACACATAACACCAACACCACTTTAGCTGATTTAGAACCACAGACACATGCTCAGTATAAGACCAGATAGTTTCGCATTTGATTGAAGACAGACACTCACCAGGCAGAGTTGGCTTATCTCCTGGTGTAATGCTAGTTGTTGTTAGCTGCTTTTAGCATGTTAGCCAGTGTTAGCCGATGTCCGTAAATGTAATCCATTTGGTCAAACCACCTCCAGACTTTTCGGGTCTGCCTCTACTTCTGCTGCTGCGATCTTTCATTTCACGGTTGTCACTTTTAAGCTTTTTAACTTTTCTCTGCATTGTCATGTTTGTGGGAATCATTCTGCTCCGTCCTTTCCTAGTGCTAGCTCCACAAACACCTTCTGGTTTCTGGTGGAACCAGCGAGATCAGGCTGGTGTCCTCTCCTCAAACTGAGGAAGGTGTTGCCCTCATCCAGCGACCAAGGAATTGTTTTCCGTACGGACGTCATGGTTCGAGGCAACGTGTTGTTTGTTATGATATTTGCTACAGCTGAGGTAGCAGCTGCAGAGTGATTGACAGCGCATCTGACCAACCAGAATTGACGTTCGCCGACGTCAGATTGTTTTGGCGGCCTGGCTAGTGGAGTGAAGTCGGCCTTTACTATTGGTCAGAACTACATATGGAATGAAAGGCAGCGCCACCAACGAGGCGTTTTTGACGCTTGTCATGTGAAAGCCCAAGAGCCGCACGGAACCAGCCAAAGAGCCGCATGCGGCTCACGAGCCGCGGGTTGGCCACCCCTGGCATAGAGCTTGATAGGGGTATTGTAACGTGTTTGAAAACACAAAACAATTGTGCAAAGTATTTGTCCTTCACTTTCCATTCTCCATGTCGATTCCCACAGTGCAAGAAAACAGTACCAAAAGCAAGGTACAGGTGGTCGAAGAAGAATTTACATGTTTTCCCAGCCACATTCAAAACTACTACTACTATCGCAAGTTTAGCTGATCCGAAGACTAAAGACCTCAACAGGTAGAATCCAGTCTCTCCGGTTGTTTGCACTGAACTAAACATTTACTCAGAGCCACTTAATCCCCTGCACCACATTAAAGGCGAGTCCTTATGTGAGGATTAGGCTGTTTTTATTTCCCAACACAACTTAGAAGTGGGTTAGTGGGCCGTGTTTCGCTTGTTAAAAAGTCAAAACTGTAAAAACCGGGAGAGATACGGGTTAAAAGTGCAGTGGAATCCTCTTTGAAGGATTGAATTCAATGGAGCTAACTTCATGAAGTCTGGACCCAAGAAGGTGACACAGCAGGTTGGATCCACAGAGAATGAGAAGTTACATGGTTGTTATTATACATGTTATGAGGTACAATACAATACAATACAATTTATTCTTGTATAGCCCTAGGTCACAACAGAAGTCATCTCAGAGGACTTAACAAAACCATTGAAATCACCAACACAGGTCAGAGAATCAACAGTTAAAACACATGAAGAATATAAAGCACACACAGAAGAAAATGTCCATACATGTTGTAGAATGCTAAAGTGTCCTGATCATCACCAATCCTTTCTGTTGGACACTAACTGTCCAACAAGACCCTCCTGCATCGACAAGGAAAAACTCTTAAAAAACCCAGTGGGAAAAAGTGAGAAACCTTGGGGAGAACTAGGGAAACCCACAGGGAGGGAGACCCATATGAGAAAGGGATCCGCTCCTCCGGACGGACAGACTAATGATCTAGGACCTAAGCTAGCTACAGAACGTGGACCAGTGGCCGCTGAAGGTACCAAGCTTTTGTATGTGTCAAATCAAAGGGAACTATTCATTGGTTAAGTTTCTCTCTTCAACATTTTGCAAACTGCATTTTTCCCATTCATAAGCATGTAATGTATTGATTGAATGTGTTTATGTTTGAAAATTTACTTTCAGTCTATAATATGAGCCATTTGAACCCAAGTGTTGAAAACATGTTCATGGACATTTGCAGATAGTCATTGTTGGTGTGAATAATAAAAATGCAAATCTTTTCACAATGTTGTCACAATTTGAAACTATACGAGGACTAAGAACAAGAGAATACTCTTGTACAAACAGGTACTGGCCTCCTGCTGGGGTCCATGCAGAGTCAGGACTAAACATGCGGGGGCAGAAACAGTCTTCCTGAAAATGTGGGACTGGCTTCTTCTCTGACAATGTTCGAATCCAAACAGTTCTGTTTAACTGTGCACACACATTTGGATTGTATCTTTTAATGTATCTGTGATTATTTAGAATTGTAACGTCCTGTGTGCTTTAAATGTTTCTTTTGGGCAATATAAATAAACCTAAATAGTGTTTTCTAGTCTCAATCTGTAACAATGAGATTAGTAGTAGTGACAACATAAGTAATCATAACAGCAGCAGTATCATTATCAGCAGTAATAGAGTAGTAGTAAAACCTTGTGCAGCTAATAACTTTGTATTTTAACTTCTAATAAAATAAATATAATGTATTATTAGTAGTAGTAAAAGAAGTAGTAGTAATATTGTAACAACATAGCAACAGAAAACAGCTTAGAAAAGAATACAAACATTGCTCAACCTGGACTAAACCAGGACCAAAACAAGTCTATCTCGGACTAAACTGGTCTGAACCCGGGGCAAGTCTCAACACAGCACTTGACACTTTTGCATATAAGCGCTTTTAAAACACTTTACGCTGCGTGCAGAAAACTTTCCTTGCACCTTGATATTCACAGTCTCTGAATCCACCAGCACCAACTTTTCTGCACTCACCATTTCTGTGGCGCTGTTCTTCGCTCCTTTCAATACGAGTTCATTGTTTATTTAAAAAAAAAAAATCTTTTACAAATCCACGCAGGCTGTCATTGTCCGCCGGGTCCGGGGCGCCTGGATCAGCGGGGGACGCGGTGCAGGGCCGCAGCCATGATGGAGCAGCAGAGGCGGTGGAGAAAGAAGAAGCGGTGGTGTTTGGAGTCCACGCACCGAAGAGAAACAAAGTCAGGTCTGCGGCTGAAGTGTGTGTGAAGTGTGTGTCTGTGTGTGCGTTGGTTTGAGGAGGTTAGGAGTTAGGAGCGAGGACGCAGGAGGGAGGAGGCGAGGGAGGGGCCAGGAAATCCCCCTATTCACCCCCCCCCCCCCCCCCCCCCCCCTCCCCTAAAGTCAATACAAGTCAAGGGACCGATCTGGTTCACCTATGAAAGAACTCATATTTTTATTAAAGCTAATGTTTGTAAATGTCACCCTGTTTGAACCATTTTTAATTTGTACAGTGTCCTTTGGTGATTTGAAAGGCGCTTTTATATGAGATGTATTATTACTATTTTTATTATGTATTATTTTGAGTGTTAGAACTAAAACATACATGGATAATATGATATGAAGAGATCCTTTATTCGTCCCACAGTGGGGAAATTTCAGTGTTGCATCAATAGACACAGAACTGTAGGGATGAGAAGAAGTGAACAAACTATTTATTTTATTATTTTTTGTTGTTATATTTGAGCATCTGTTAAAACGCATATTGCATTAAAGATAGTGTGCACACACTCAAAAGAAAATTACACACAGTATACAAAATTCCACACAATAACTCAACACTAAAAGAAATAAGACTCTATTATTGTTTTATAGATGATGTAATCAAATAAGATTAGGATGAGCAAAACACTCCCATCTACTGGTAGAAGTGGGAAATTACATCTTGCTTTTATAATCAAACATCGAGCTGGTTTAAGCTAGTAATACTTTATCCAGATAGTATGATGCATCTATGGTCTGGACAGGGCTGCATGATTTTGGAAAAAAAGAAACATATTGTAATATTTCTGACCAAAATAGGGATTTTCAACATCTTTCAATATAAAAGCAATAACTTGAAGAGAGTTTCAGTTGAAAAGGCAACATCTGAAGTGATTATCTCAATACTCAATTTCCACACATTTCAGAAAGTGCCATCCATCCATCCATTTTCTTCCGCTTTATCCGTTGCTGGATCGCGGGGGCAGCAGTCTAAGCAGAGACGCCCAGACTTCCCTATCCACACACACTTCCTCCAGCTCGTCCGGGGGGACCCCAAGGCGTTCCCAGGCCAGCTGAGAGACATAGTCCCTCCAGCAAGTCCTGGGTCTTCCCCGGGGATTTCAGAAAACGTTTATGAGTTATAACCAATGCATACACAAAATACTTCAATTTAAGAATTTTATTATCACTTTTATTTTGTCCATTTTTGGTTTGTATGGAACAGTACTTGCAGATGTATGACCCCAAACATTTTGATTTGGATTCGATTATGATTAGCAGTCCGAGTCTGAACTATGGCCAAAATGCAATTCCACAAACTCCATGCACTCATATTTCTGTCTCTAAAATCTGTGAATAGTGGGGTTCCAAAATTGAAAACAGCTTATGGACAGAAGAAACACAACACGAACAGCAATAATACTAAGAAACCCCTTCTTTATGTTAGTTGTTTGCGCTGCAGGATAATATCTCACATGTTCCTCGTCCCCTCCTCCCACTGAACTGCAGACCTCCAGCTGCTTTATCACACGGCCTCTGCACCTAAACAAACAACATGAGACGAATTAGTGCAGCTCCGAAGTAAGAAACTACACACACCTGTTGGCTCTGAAAACTTGGAGTGCTGGGAAGAGCCTCTCGAATCGGTGGAAGACAAAAGAAAACAGAGATGGCATTGAATAAAAACTACAATAACACAAGCAATTATATGACACCATTTTTTACAGTTAGTTGCTTTTGTGTTTGTAATGCCACTTACATAGCAACAGTGTGTGAATTGGTGGGTAAAACAACTGCAGTAGGATTAAAACCCTGCAGCTCGAGTTGAGTAGAGCCCGGAAGTACAATCACATTAGTCCAGTTCTCAGGTCTCTGCACTGGCCTCCTGTGGCTCAGAGAATAGACTTTAGAGCAGCTCTCTCCACAGCCTCGCACCAAAGTACATCTGTGACATTAGTGCCATATGAACCAACTCTCACAGGCACAGGGACTTGTCAAATACATTTTTACACAAGGATGTATTTATTTATCACAACGTCGTTTTTCAATCGGCGTAAATTGTCTTCACCCACATTCTCTTTCCTCAAGCCCATGATTTTTGAATGTTGGATCAAAACTGGTCCAAATGCGCAATAGAACAAAGCTTGGACTAATCAAAATCCTATTATAGAAAAACACAAATAGACAGTTGAGAAATTGCACGACAGTACACAATAATCAATCTCATTACCGAAAAACCAAATACAATATTCACAGTTGTGCACACATTCTCTCGAGTTCATTCAAAACTACCCTCATGCAAGCAATGCCATGTAAGTTACTATGTACAGCTTGACAAATAGCATGGATTCAGGTCATTTTAAATATGACAACACATTCACTTTTCAAAAATATCCATCTCTGTGTGTGAATGAAACAACTTGTGATCATGTTAAAACAGTACATTGTAATAATACACACACTTACTGTTATGTAAGTACTGCACAATCTTTGCTCCGCTCTCTCTTCTGTCTGTGGCCGGTGCAGAGGAAGTGCAGGGCAGACAGGAGCAGAGCGGAAAGACCCCAGATAAAGAAAATACTCAAAAATAACTCAAAACAGAAACATATGGCGACATCGACCGCATTTGTACACACACACACACACACAGACACACACACACACACACACACACAGACACACACACACACAGACACACACACGTACATACGCGGCACGGTGGCTGAGTGGATAGCACTCTCGCCTCTCAGCAAGAAGGTCCTGGGTTCGAATCCCGCTTGGACCAGGGCCTTTCTGAGTTGAGTTTGCATGTTCTCCCCGTGTCTGCGTAGGTTTCCTCCGGGTGCTCTGGTTTCCCCTACCACTAAAAATATGTACAATAGGTCTGGCATGTGCCTCCTGTACCGGCACCCCCACTCCCAAATCCCAATTGTAAACTGCTTTGAGACTCTGATGTGCAGTGAAAAGGCGGTATATAAATAAAGATTACTGTTACTACATACATACAAACACACACACACACACACTCATTAGCCCCGTTTCCACCAGCTCTACTTGGCCCTACTCCACTCTACTCTTCTCGGCTCTTCCCTAACTGGCTGCGTTTCCATTATGCTTTAGTATCTGGTTTGTTGACATTATGATGTTGTTTAAGTTATCACTTTAAAAAGTCATATGTGGCTATAATATATATTGTATACTGAAAATGGTCGTATTGTGTCCAGATTCGACTGTAGTTAAATATCAGCATTAACACATGTCCTGGCAATCTGACCACAACAAACCAGTATCCGTGGCAAACATGGCTTCTAGCAACACTCTGGCCAATTAATGTCAGTTAGAACAGTTTAGTACCAGCCCGGGCCCAGATAGAACTAGGTCCAAGCAGGTTATTAAAAAATAGCTGGTACAAGTTAAACTTTTCTTTCTTGCTGTGGGAAGCAAAAGCGGTAACTTCTGTACCGTGCCACCCCTGTTGAAAAACATATTATTCAGGCAGAGTTTAGAGTTTAGTTTATTAAGGACAATGTGCAGTTATATTAAAAAAATGGCTGCACCAGATTTAGCACCATGCTACTCTCCATCTGTAGTCCTTGACAATACAATCATTAAACATACATATTAAAATACAGTTAAAAAGGTGAAGGCTATGTAGCTACAGTCACAAGTCACAATATACAAAATACAGAATATATTTAAATCTTGGCAAATGGAGCACATGGAGAATGTGCAAATTACTGGTTTAAAGTGCAATACAAAGTTACAGTACAGTATTTAACAGCGATAGAAAAGTGCGATACAATTGTCAAACAAAAGCAGAACAATGTCAGATGTACTCACGGCCCCTGAAAAAAACATATTGTCATTTATGGTTACACAAAAATAAATGGAATTGAATTGAGTTTTTTCATAACTGTCTGATCACGCTCCTCATCTGGAGACATTCTTGTTGTTATTATTCCCTGTGAGATGTTTAATGTTGAACTCATGTGAAATCTGCCGTTCTCAGACTCGGAGGAAAACAGACGTTTGTGTATTTGTTCATCAGAATCCACAAACTGCAGCAGAACGAGTTGTTTTCATTCATTTCAGTTGAGTCTGTGTTTGTGAATACTACTATTACTGCCGCTTAGACAGTACTCTCTTTGTTCCTCTGCTCAGACCAGGACCCAGAATGAACCAGTCCTGGGTCCTTCACTGCAGAACGACTTTGACCTCAGTGAAGGAAAAGTGCTGATGTAGACCTTTGGGAACATGTAATGCTCACGGTATTTTCACTACGGTATGTTGTTACTCTATGATTGATAAATGTGACTTCTTCAGCCAGTATCATGTCATCATTTTGTTATTATTTGATAGAATGTGGAAGAAAGTATTTCACTCACTCCAGCAGACATTGTTCCATTCAGAAGCACTTCATTTACATACACACAGACATACAATCAATCACCACGAGTCCATTTATTTACTGTTTCACTACTTACAACTTTAGTCAAAATATTTTAATTGAAACGTGATGGAAAAACGAAATATGAGTCACAAAATATAATTGCTAATTTATTATTTTTGTAATAATCACAGATCAATCCTTGTGTTTCCTGCTGTGTGTGTGAATGGTTGGATGTGACTATGGCCCGTACTGGTTGCCTCACTTCTGTGAAGAAAGTGAAAGAAAAATTCAATGTGAGTGTCCAAAAAAGTGTTATATATGTAAAACCAATATTATTCCGTATTATTTTAAGCGTTCCGGATTGTTG